CCCCCCCGGCCCCCCCATACCGTGCGAAGCCCACCCCCCGGCTGGCCCCGTGGGGGTCCCGCAGGATGCGGGTCGAGACCACCTGCCCGAAGGGCTTCAGCAGCGCCTCCAGCTCCTGCTCGTCCACGCCCAGCGGCAGGTTCGAGATGTACAGGTTGGTGGGGTCCTGCTCCTGTTGCTGTGGGGGGGTCAGGGGGCTGTGGGGACCCACAGAGGGGGGTCCCAGGGGGCTCGGGGGGCTCGGGGGGTCCCATACCTTGGCCATCTGCGCCTGCACCCCGCTGGCCTTCAGCGCCGTCACGGCCTTCTGGGCCGCCGTGGGGCTGTCAAAGTCCACAAAGCCGTAGCCTGGAGGGGGGGCAGGTGGTGAGAGGGACCCCCAGAGCTCCCCTGAGCGTCCCCTGTAACCCCACAGCCCCCCGACCTTTGCACTTGTTGGTCGTCTTGTCCAGGATGGCTTTGGTGGAGACGATCTTCCCGTAGCTGAGGGGGGCGAAAAGGGGGACTCAGTGCCCTGTAGGACCCCCAGCCCCCTCAGGGGGGCTCTGGAGGGGGGGACAGTGAGACCCCAGCCGCGGGGGGGACCCCAGCCCCACTCACGGCTGGCAGAGCTTGACCAGGTCCTGGTCCGTGGTGCCAGGATGCAGCCCCCGGATGTAGAGGTTGGTCTTGCTGAGCTGGTCCGGGGCCCCCCCGGCGGGGCTGGGGCTGGGGGGGCCCAGGGGCTGTGCCGGGGGCACATAGGGCTGCTGTGGGGTCAGGGAGGGTCAGTGCCCACCGCTGCTCCATTGCAGCCCCCAAAATCCCGACACCCCCCACCTCCAGAGACAGAGTGGGTGTGGAGAGAGCGACCACAGGCCCCAGCAGGGCATAGGGACTGACTCTGCCCATCCTGGGAGTCCCCTGGTCAGGAGACACCCCCCCGGGGAACCCCCCCTATCCCTGGGGACCCTTAAGCCAGAGGCAGCTGGAACCCTCTGGGCTGATGTCAACGTGCAAACGTGAGTCACCCGCGGCCGCCCCCGCACTCCGGGCCCCCCGGGCCCCCACCAACCCCCCTGGACCCCCATCATCCCCCCGGAACGCCGTCACCTCCCCCTGGGACTCCTGGACCCCACCCTCCCCCCCGGACTCCCTCATTCCCTCCCCACCCCCGGGCCCCCGTCCTTCTTCCCCGAGGGTCCCCATCATCAT